CTCTAATGGCTTAAAAGGGGAGTGCATCACGAATACTTTTCATGAGATCATCATCATGTAGTACTATTATCTTCCAAAAATCAAAATGAGAGGATAAACTTTCCCTCGTTTTTATTTCGGAGTAAAGATTTCGGTCTGTTTGTAGTACTCTCTTCCTTTTTTACTAGCTGGTTTTTGCTGAACTTTTTTTCCTAGAGTAATTCTTATTTTAACTGATTTTTTTAACTCTATAAGGCATTACCATTATTTACCAACCATAGCTATGGTTTAATTGCAACATATTAGTGTTGGTATACTATCCTAATAATATAAAAAATTTACGTAGTGTTTCGGCTTAAGAGTGTTATGTATTTTCAGTTCTCGTTGAAACTGTAAAGTGTATAAGAAGAAACTTGAGCATAATTCAGAATATATTGGTAAAACAGAAAAAAAAAACAGTCCAAATGTTCAAACTTAGATCTCTCTAACCCATATATTTCGCAATTCCGAAATTGTGTTTAGACAATGGTATTACTATATTACCAAAATGTCATATTTTGTCAAAGTGATTATTATTGATCAAGATTCGAAATAAACATCCACTGTAACGTCACATGCGAAAAATGAGTATTTTATATTATAAGTATTAATTATACACAACCGTCTATCGAAGAAAGACCCTTTTTCCATCTTCTGATTGATTGTATACCACTAATTATAAAATTCGAATCTAGGAAAAATATTACTATGTAATACAAACGTGCTGATTTTGATAAGAATAAAAGAGTGGGATATATAAAAAAAAGTCAGCGTGAATCATGTGATACGATAAATGGACACGGTCCTATGACTAAGTCCACTCACATCCGAATGACGTAATACAGCGTAACACACAGTTTGCTATGTCGCACATCCTCACGTAACCATTGTTGACTTGACGCTAGACTTTGATCTCTCTTAATTCGTATATATAAAGTGAATTGTCACAAAGCCTTATGGATATGCAAAACCTTCCCTTTCCTTATTAGGCATCTTGAAAACATATGTGAAAATGCAAGGAACGATTTCTTGTACAAGGCATTACAATACTATGATCCCGGCCGCAGAATCTCTGCTACCGCTTAAAACGCAAGGAAATGGCGAACGTGTTCGGACGGTGGTGGAGGAGAACGCGGTGATCGTGATTGGACGGAGAGGATGCTGCATGTGCCATGTGGTGAATATGTTGCTTCTTGGACTTGGAGTAAATCCGGCGGTTCTTGAGATCGATGAGGAGAGTGAAAAGGAAGTTATGAATGAGCTAGAGAGGATTAGCGTCGAAAGCGATAGAGAAACGGTGACGTTACCGGCGGTTTATATTGGAGGGAGGTTGTTTGGAGGGTTGGATAGAGTTATGGCCACTCATATCTCCGGTGAGTTAGTTCCAATTCTTAAGAAGGTTGGAGCTTTGTGGTTGTGAACTTGTGATTGTATATATTTTTTCTCTTAAATTATCTTGAATCATGAGATGATTCGGTAGTGTTTGTTAATCGTTTGGTTTATGATTGGATCGATGGTTTTTTACATATTCAGAATAAAACAACGAATGGCTAAAAACCCAAAGTTGAGAAAGTGTCGAATTTGTTATTCAATTGACTTGATCTTATTAACTTTTACAAACAACGTATTTATACATGAATATGTGGGCTTAACCTTAAGCCTAATCCTTATCGTAATTGGAAGTATAAACTATATCAAATCTACTTTGTATATACCCA